ACGTGGGAAAGAAAAGGCAAATTAAAAAAAAAAAAAAAAAAAGGCAAGTGACTAAAAATAGAAATGTTCTGACCTATTTATGAATTTGGACTTATGAAAGTGGCTTCTGTGCAAGTTATTTATGTATTTAAAAATTCCCTGATTGGCAATAAAATGAAGACACCTTGGCCAATTCTCCAGAAGATGGAACAGAACGATCTTGTTTATGTGATTTCCTAGATCCTCCTAGAAACTACACTTTTAAGGACAGGAAAGGCTATGACTGAACACCCAGAAGGGGACACTGCCACCTCGCCCTCAGGGTGCCTCCCCAGGCCAGTGGCATTGGTATCACCCTGTAGTCTCACAGAGGCAGACTCTCAGGTCCCATTCCAGACTGTCTCACACACAATCTGAATTTCAACAAGTTTCTCAGGCAATTCATATGCACATTAAAGCATGAAAAGTCCTGAATTATTGTGAGTTGAATTGAACAAAGTTCCTTGATTCTATCAGAATTAAACATAGTCAAGGATCAGCCCCTAGCTTTGAAGTCACTATGCCAAACACAAGGTATTTTGCCAATACACGCTGAGTGGAGCACAGACATTAAGACACTTAACTTAGACACTCAAGGCAACAAAGTTGAATGTTGTTCAGATGGGCAAAAGACTTCAAGACAGGAATTCTGGCCTTCATATCATCAAATTAAATCGGATTTTAGATACAAAAAATTTCAAACTGCTTTTGCATAAGGGACAAATAAGCATATTTTTACGAAAGCAATCTTGAGCACAGAATATAAGAGTAGTTATCTGTGCTGGGGGGCTTACTAATGACAAGCATACCAAATCCGAACACCATAAAAATTCAATTGTTTGGAACTGTATTCTAGTCAGATGTAATGATTGAAATCTAGATTTGTGAATAATTCCTGGTTACAAATCATTATTGGTTCAATGTCATTATAAGGTTCTGCCTTTCAGGATACCACAGGCAGGGACTTCCATAGCCCCTGGGCAACCTGGAGCCCTGAACTCTGTATTACTGAGGTAATTAGCATGTGAACACCTCGGTCTGGAGAGAAGCCCTCAAACTCATTTGAGAATAAACCAGTCATTCTTAGCTTGCTGCAGATTGGAATCACCTAGGAAGTTTTAAAAAATGTACCTATTTAGTTGGTTGGAGGTAGAATTCCAGTGTCCGTATTCTCAAATCTCTCCCTGGATGATTCCAGTCTGCAGTTAAGGCACTTCTTCCGCATACAAAATTAAGACTCTAGCTGGAAATCTGTTTACTATCTGTTCAAGCCCAGGGCAAAACCATTTCATTGCTGATTCTCGAATGGCAGGTAATAAGTACTGGGCTGTCCAGGGGCAGGATGTGCTACGCGGATACCCCAAGGACATCTACAGCTCCTTCGGCTTCCCCAGAACCGTGAACCATATCGATGCGGCTGTTTCCGAGGAAGATACTGGGAAAACATACTTCTTTGTTGCTAACAAGTACTGGAGGTAAGACCGTGTGCGGAAAACGTTGGAGCATCAGTTCTTTCATTTCAAAAGTGTCAAAATGCCTTGACCAGCATCCGTTTTTGTGAATGGCTGGAGACAGTCTATCAACCATTTGGTCTATTGACTGATAATCTTCACACAGTGCCTGGGCTGGGAATCCAGGGAGAACGCAGGGCTGAATTCTGAAAAGATGTAAAAATGAGGACATTCATCTTAACAGAGCTACTTCTGCCAGAAGGGAACTTCATGGAATATGAATATGACATAGTATGGAAGTTCAAGAGGATTTAACATTAAATTTCACAGGATCCTTATAAACTTTTTAGTCCACTCAACATGCCTACCCACTTTGTCCCACCCCATTTTACAAGTAATCTGTAGAAGTTTAAATTCTTGTTTAATTCCCAATAGTAAGTTTCTGTAATGATTTGGAGAAGTCTAGGGTCAGCAGGTGGTGTAGTGATTAAGATGATGAACTCCCATGTGGCTGACCATGGTTTGAGTCCCAGACCCGGTAGCTTAAACTCACACTGGCACATGTGCATGTGTGCACAGAATACCAAGAGGAGACTGAAAGAGAAGGGATTGTGGCATGCCCATTCCTCCCCCCCACCCCCGAGGGTGATTTTTCTCTTTCTTTCTCTCTGTCTGTCTGGTGAATGCACACACCCTGTAGCAAAAATCTAGGGAAAAACAAAAATAAAACAAAACAAAAAAGATCTGCATGTGTAACAAAAGATTTCAATACTCCTCATCCTTTTCTGACCAGATATGATGAACGCAAACGATCCATGGATGCAGGTTATCCAAAAATGATAGCCCATGAGTTCCCTGGAATTGGTGACAAAATTGATGCTGTTTTCAAGAAAGATGGTAAGTGAAAAAAAAAATATTTTCTCTATTTTGTTGCCTTAGTAATAGCATCAGTATTGTTATTTGGAATAGCAAATGCCAACATTTGCACTCATGAATGACTTGAGTTTGTTAAGAATTCAAGTACAGCCTGGAAACTATATAATGTAATAAGCCTCTTTTGTTTTATTTCTAGGGTTTTTCTATTTCTTTCATGGAACAAGGCAATACAAATTTGATCCTAGAACTAAGAGAATTTTGACTCTCCTGAAAGCTAATAGCTGGTTCAACTGCAGAAATAATTGACCAACTTACGAAATTGAATGGAAAAAAATATTTTATAAACCCAAAGAAGGTGTTTTCCTCCCTATAGCAAAAACCTCTCCAAAAAAAAAAAAAGGTGTTTTCCTGAAGAGCCATGTTTTTCAGTATTCTACTTAATTTCTAGACTCACTGATACATATAGCTACTAAGTATAACCTTATTTATACCTCATTCTATTTTTTTACAATGTAGAATTTAATGTTTTATGTCCTGATATCATTTAGTTTTACAAATGATCGCTAAGGAAGGTCAAGTTTATGGCTTTGGATTCATGTGGATCAATGTTGCAGAGAAGATAGTTTCTGAGTATGTTGATTCTGGAAAGCATCTCAGGGAAGATGCTTTTTCACACACAAAAAGAGAGAGAACAGACATGATTCCTCACCAGAGGAAAAGTAGTTTCAGCACACAAGAGCAGCCCTGGTATCTTTGTGATATGTGAGGGACAATTCTTAAAATAAAGTATTATATGTTTGGAATAAAATTATCCTTGTCTTTACTATTTCATATACTTTTTCTTGAACTTTCTTCATTTCTTCTAAGGTAGAGAGCACCTCTACCGCAATCTACCCCATCCTCGCCAGCCGTAGATCCAGGCACACACACGCCCACGATGTGTGTCTGGACATACACCAGGAACCTTCCCACATGCGTTGACCACACAGAATGTTGCATGTTACCTCCACCACCCAGCCACCTGTTTTAGACACTTTCTATTACGTTAGGTGTAGTAGTATTTCCTGATAGTAAAGCCACACTTACAGAGATTAATTTTCAAAGCAGAAATACAAAGAAGACAATATGCAAAATATCCATATGGGAAATTAGGATATGCAAAAAACCTTAAATAGTCCCCATCCTCCTTAGATTTATAACAGATAGGACAAGGGAAATAGAAATTCTTTCTTCTATCTGAAAATTTCAAAATGAGTTTTCAGGTAAAAATCAGTGACTGCAAAGTTGGGTTTTCTAAGTGTGTCGCTCTCTCTTCTGAGCACATGGAAGAGTCACATTTCCCACAGGTCAACTCCTTACAATTGCAGGGGAGCAGAGGTAGTGGGCAGCGAGGCATTCGGCTAGTTCTGGCCAGAAGGCTGTGTGGAGTGACAGACATCAGTTCCATCCTGAGAAATGTGTTTGCTGGTGCAAATTTCTTTAGTAATCCACTCCCCCCTGTGATGATTATAGAATGTCAGAAGAGCATTGCCCCACAATGAAAGAAGCCAGAATTGCTGGGTTGTTATTCTAAACAGTAAATGAGTAAAACACACATACACACACACACACACACACACACACATCTTAGTAACTACTGGGTCATCAGGAAAACCATGATGTATTTTTCCATTACAAAAACACATCAGGACCTTCCTGACAATCTAATATTATGTCACTATATACTCATATGAGGAGACTTCTAAAAGTTTCTAGACAATTGTAATTAAAGTATATTTTTGCACAAAAAATTGAAATCTATTCAGTTTTTTTTCATGATACACGTGTTCCAAGAACTTACTTAAGACTTCTTATCTGTGAATGTAAGTGATAAGTAGAGTTCTCATTCAAGATCATCTCACAGTTGGTCCAGTGGGTCTACAAACCACCCTGCGGTGGTCTCTTTGGTCTAGCTCTCTTACTGGTTTCCTGATCTGTGAAATAAGACCTGTATGGTAGAAAGGGCCAACTAGGAAATCCTAAAACTCTTCCTCCCAGACTATCTAGTGAAGACAGTAAACTAAACGCAATCAAAATCAAACAAGACCAAACCAAACCATGTCTACCCTGAAAGGGTTACATGGATTGATGATACTATCAAAGACTTAGAAGCAATGGGGTGGGTGGTCTTAACATTATTTCATTTAATAATTAGTCTTTAAGTCCTTGAAATAAACCGGGTAGATGACGATGGATGCGCTTCTGCCAACTTCCCTCATGGGTAGCTACTACTGCAGCCACTGACTTCCTTTCTGGAGAAAACTAACATGGCCTCAGAAACTTGATATGGGGTGATTCAGAAGGAGTATCTGGAAATTTCTTTATTGTCTGTGAACTCAGAAATGTGCTGAAAAGTGGGGCTTCTACTCTTTTGTATTTTAGGGTTTTTTTAATCAAAACTCTAGTTTTTCTAGATTGAGAACTTTGAAATCACTACCATTAGGGAGAGAGATAGTAGCTTTTTTCTACACCTACCCGTGTGTCTTGAAGAGTCTGCTTCTGGTTAATGAGTTGTAGTGTGACGCAGGAAGATCTCCACTGCTCAACTCTGTGCTCTTTAGAGATTTTTGCCATAGGGCACATGCGCTTGCTTACCAGAGAGACAGAAAGTGGGAAATTACCCCCACACACACCTCAGGAGGATGGCCATGCCACAGTCACTCCTCTTGGGATTTTGGATACTCACACACGTGCCCAGTGTGAGTTTTAAGCCCCAGGTTTTTTGTTTGTTTGTTTGTTTGTTTGTTTTTTGAGAGGTTTTCGCTATAGGGTGCATACGCTCGCCAGACAGAGAGAGACAGCAAGAAATCACCCCCCAGGGGGGATAGCCATGCCACAATCCCTTCTCCTCCATTCTCCTCTCAGGATCTTGGGCACGCACACACACACACCCGGCGTGAGTTTAAGTCACTGGGTCTAGGACTCGAACCGCAGTCGACTACGTGGGAGTCCAGCGACATAGCCATTACACTAACTGCTGGTCCAAGCCCCAGGGTTTGGGACTCGAACTGCAGTTGGCCATGTAGGAGTGCAGCACCTTAATCTCTACTCCAACTCTGTGATCTTAAGCAAATGGTCTGGATTCTCTGAATCTTAGAGTTTTTTCATTTTTGTTTTTCTGTGATAAGGAGAAAACATACTAATGCTCAGAGTTGTCAGGATGAAGAGGCTAAATCACCTAGTATAGTGGCTGCCATGTAAAAAATAGTCACCTAATGATAACTGCCTTTTCCTTCTCATATTCTCTTAAGGCCAGAATATCTCATCAATACTACTCTTCTCCCCACCAAGCTTCTTCCCACCAAAAGAGCCCACTGCAATAATCAATCGACGCAACAGTGAACCCTAATCAAAATTGGAAATCCAGTAATCACATTCATATAGCATTATTTCCTCTGTTTAGCTATTATGAATAACAATGGCTATTATAGGTTAAAACATACAATGATGCTTTCTAGTCTTCTTTTTAGCATGGGAAAGAGGTGAACTTCTCACTTGTTCTGTCTGTGACTTAGCACGATAACCCCAACTTGTAAAAAAAAAAAAAAAAAAAAAAACTTCCAACAAAAGAAGAAGTTGTGAAATACTGAAGTTAATATCGCTACAGTTGACCTGGGATCATGTGTCTTAGAATCAGAAGTAGTAGATGTTGAAAGGTGATAGCTAACCCGATTTCCCCAAGAATTTGATCACTTGGAAGTGAGGAGTGGTTTTGCATTTCCAACCTAATTGTGATAGATTGTGATAGACTGAGATACCTAAGAAGTCTTGAAAAGTTCTAAGAAAATGTACATAGATTTCAAAATTTTTTGCACCTAAATGAACTTGTACTTTACATTTTTCTACAGACGTCTTGAGGTCCACCTGTATGTTGTGTCTAGACTACATCAGGGCAACACAGGACAAGGAGAGCTGCAGGTAACAAAGCCATCAGACATAGACCAAAAAAAGTGGCTGGATTAGGGACCAGCAGTTAGCGTAATGGCTATGTCACTGGGCTCCAATGTAGTTGACCGCAGTTCGCGTCCTGGACCCGGTGGCTTAAACTCACGCCGGAAGTGGTGTGTGCGTGTGTGCCCAAGATCCCGAGAGGAGAATGGAGGAGAAGGGATTGCGGCATGGCCATCCCCCCTGGGGGGTGATCTCTTGCTTTCTGTCTCTCTATCTCTCTCTTTCTGTCGAGTGCACGTGCCCTATAGCAAAAAATAAAAATAAAAATAAAAAAGGAAAAGAAGTAGCTAGATTAGAGAGATAGTTAGGAGAAAAGAACAGGAGCTAAGGGGTTAAACTGAAGTTAAGGTCAGTGGTGAGTATCAAGAATGAGAGAAAAAGAGGGGACCAGCAGGCGGTGGGTGGTTAAGGCGCTGGACACTCCCACATGGCCAACCAGGGTTCAAGTCCTGAATCTGGTGGTTTGCTTTCTCACTTCCTCTCTCTCTCACTGTCACCCTGTCTCTCTCTGGTCAAACTAAAAAATGAATGAATGAATAAATAAAATAAAATAAATAATTATTTAAAAAGCAAAAAGAATGAGAGAAAAAGAACAGAGTGTCTTTAGTGTGAGAGTAAAAAGATCATAACAGGACCCACCAGTGGCATGGTGGTTAAGACAGCTGAATCCCGCCTGGCCAACTAAGTGGTTTGAGTCCCAGACCCGGCAGCTTGGGAAATATACCAGATGCATGTGTGCCCAAAATTCCAAGAGAAGAGAATGGACTATGGCATGACCATTCTCCCTGGCCTGGAGGGTGATTTCTCACTTCTTCATTAGTAAAAACTAAAAAAAAAAAAAAATCTAAAAAATAAGAAGGGCTGGGCAGTGGTACTGTGGTAAAATATGATACTACAAGGCTAACCCATGTGGAAAATTCTGGGGTTCTTTACAGAAATTCTTCAGATATACACTTGCCTTGATCTGGCATTGGCTGAAGGTGGGGTTGGATCGCAGTGCCCAGACTCTTAGAAGTTCTCTCTTTCTCTCTCTGTCTCTCTCTCTCTCTAACTAAATAAATAAACCAGAAGGGGAGGGGGAAGGACATAGAAAACAAAGTTGGGAGTCAAAGTCCATGCCAAAAGGTTTTTTTAATGAGCAGAGAAGTTACAGTGTTGAGGGGGTTCTATACTGGCATTCTGAGTAATTGCTTATAACTAGTCAACTAGCCAAACCTGGATTTATTATTCACATTTTCTGGCCCTCCCTAATCTCAACTTTGCTGGTTGTTTTAAAGATTAGAAATAACACACATTTAGGACTTGGAATACAATGGAAGGTTCTATACCTAGAGGTTCTACCTTTCTTTTAAGTATGAATTCTGCTAATATATGCCTGCTTACCTAATTGTACCCACACTGCAGTAAGTTTAACCTGCAATAAATTATTTAAACACAAAAATAGGACTCCCCACCCCAAGTCATTTATTTCTCTAGGCATAATGATTTAATAGAGGATAAGTATAACACCAATATCACTCCTGTGAGGCATGCACTTTGGCATTTAGTCAGTTATAAATCTCTTACTACGACATTATCTTTAATCATACCATTACCACATGATAAGATCCAGGTTATGCTGACATCAATAAAGTTGTGACTCAAATGAAGATGAAGCATCTTGGAACATCTCAAATCAGTGCCTGGGGGCATTGTCATAGATTTGTCAGAACAACAAACTTTGTCTGTTAAATATAGTGTGAAATAAAAGAAGATCGATTCCCAAGAATAAAGCATACACAATAAATCTTCGAGTGAGGTTATATTCATCCCATTTTTTTAAAAAAACTGTATTCATTTATTTCTTTTGAGAGAGAGAAGAACACCCTCAAAAGGGTTTTGTGCCATGATCTCCACCTGCCCTAGCCTTTTAGCCAGTCAGGTTAGGAACTTGTGTACGTGCCAACACGTACAGGTCAACTGGGAAACCAACACTCATCTTCCTTATGGCTTCCAGCATTTTAAGTGTTATGTTACTGCTGTCCCATTGTGGTTGGACCCCATTTCATTTTTATAGGGAACAAAACAGTGGCCCAAAGAAATTATAGACTTGCTTAAAGTCCAGTGGAGTCTGGTTGTCAGCCTCTCTCTCTGATTTTCAAGCTAATGTCTGCTCCCCTCCACCATGTCATAGAGAACACTTTTTGGATGAATTAAGCCACCAGTAGACTTGGTTGACTCAGTGCATTGCCAAGCTTCTGCCCAGTTCTGGCTTGAAGGTGTCAGAGCCTCCTGGTTCCTGGAAGTCTCCTGTCCAGTCCGTTTTGAGTAGGTTAGAGGTGATGATGGTTCTGAAAAGATCATTCCTACCCACTCGTTAATTTCGTCTGTTACAACTTGGAAATTACATACTTCATACTTATGGTAGGATTCATTACTTTTTACTGAGAGAAAAAAATAATTCTATGCTAAAAGAGTTCCAGGGTCCTTCATATTGATAAGGTTTAACTGGGTGCAGTGCCCCTCATAGTCTTATCATGCTACTGTTGAGAAGCATGCTACTTGGCTGAGAAAGAAGGAAATGTGGCTGATGGCAGGGGCTGGTAGTTAGATATGGGAAGGGAAGTGTGGGTTTTAAATCATTCCCATGATAAATCTCAATCAGTTTCTTCTCTTGTACTTTGGGGGGAGGAAAAAAAGTATGAAAACAAGTTTTTTTTTAAAGTAAAGAATAGGAGAAAGATAAGAGGAACATTTTGGGCCAGTATGAAATTTCAATTTAGTAAATTTCTATGGAGAAGTTACTATGAACATATCTTCCATTCTTTTTTTTCTTTTTCTTTTTTTGGAGAGGTTTTTGCTATAGGGCACATGTGCTCGCCAGACAGAGAGAGACAGAGAGACAGAAAGCAGGGAATCTCTCCACAGGGGGTATAGCCATGCCACAATCCCTTCTCCTCCATTCTCTCGGGATCTTGGGCACGCACACACGCCCGGAGTGAGTTTAAGCCACCAGGTCTGGGACTCGAACCGCAGTCGACTACGTGGGAGTCCCGTGACATAGCCATTATGCTAACTGCTGGTCCCAACATATCTTCCATTCTGAAATGGAGAATGAATGGTGCCAAAGGTCCCATCCTTTGCTTCTTTATTCTTCTACAGGCCCTTCTTCCCATGACCCACTTCTCAAACTTCTGCACCAAGTCCAGGAAAGCCACCTGAGAATCAGTCATAGCTGTGTTAAACAAGAACTTAAGACTTGAAATACCTAATGTCGTATCTTTTTAGCAATTCCCCTATTTAGGCCACAATAACATTTGGATTTTCTTCCCATTAATCCATGCACTCCCTTATCTGATTGCATCTGAGTTTAAAATATAATCTTTTAAGAAAGAAAATTTCACTAACTTTAGAATGTGTAAGCACTTGGCAATTTACTGGGCCAATCAGCTTTCTCTTAGTAAAAACACAAACATGAATTACTAGGCAATTTTTTTTCCTCTTTAGAAACACAGAAACCATTTCCTGGAGATTAATCATTACTTCAAGTTCAGAAGGGTGAGGGAAAATGCTGATGCAGGCCGTATTATCTTTACATTGAATTTTTGTGAACATTCCTGCCATCGTTCAAATTTAAACGCACACACACACACACACACACACACACACACACACCATGAATCATGCTGTTGGTGATCTAAGCATTGTCTTTCTATAAAAGGAAGGCCACTAGAGGGTAGAGTTAGAAGCCAGTAGACACAAAAGGTGTTTTCTCAAGGTGAAGTCAGTGAGAATGAAGCCTCTGGCCTTTCTTGTGCTGTTGTATCTGCCAATCTGCTCGACTTCTCCTCTGAATGGGTCAGCGAAGCAGGAGGACCCAGACATGGATCTCGTCCAGGTAATTAATAGTGGCATTCATTGCAGCCACTAGCCAGCCTGAGTGGTTAACCAGGGGGTCTTCCAACACCAAGCAGAATGATTTAATTAGAAGTTAATGGGTTGGAATAATTTGGCATCACAGCATATTCAAGTGCCAGGAGTAGAAATTCCCTTCATTTTTGAGAATAGGAAAGAAAGTCACAAGAAAGGAATATAATTTCTGAAGATTATAATAAAATAGTGGCAGCTACTTGGTGGCTAAATGAAAAGAATGAAATAATGTGAAACTCCTCTGGCTGTAGAAATCTTTGGTTAAAATAATCTAGGAGGAATGCTCAAGTAACATTGATATTCAAATAATATCAGCTAATAATATTATTGTTGTCATGTTTGTACAAAATAATTTATGAACCAGATCTGTGTTAACAATATAAAATGGAGGGGCCAGTAGTTGGTGTAATGGCTATATTGCTGGACTCCCGTGTGGTCGACCGCGGTTCAAGTCCTGGACCTGGTGGCTTAAACTCAACGCCGGGTGTGTGTGCATATGTGCCCAAATCCCAAGAGAAGAATGGAAGAGAAGGGATTGAGGTGTGGCCATCCCCACTAGGGGGTGATTTCTCCCTATCTCTCTATCTCTCTTTGTCTTTCTGGTGAGCACACGCACCCTATAGCAAAAACCTCTCCCCCAAAACAATTTTTTTAAAAAAAGGGAAACAGATCTATCTGCCCAAAGTATTTGCTCAATTATGTCAAATTCCCTATTGGGCTAGTAAACAAAATTGCAATAAAATAATGAAATGAGATATCTTAATAAGTAATAAAATTAAGAGTGATATTTACTTTCGTTTTAATGAACTGTGAAATAATTAAAATACATTGTGAAATTTGGATAAATAGTTGAAAGTAGTAAGAATAACTTTAAAACTATATTTATTCCCTTAGCAATACCTAGAAAACTACTACAATCTCACAAAAGATATGAAACCATTTGAACGAAGAAAGGACAGTAGTTTGGTTGTTAAAAAGATCCAAGAAATGCAGAAGTTCCTCGGGCTGGAGGTGACGGGGAAGCTGGACTCTGCCACTCTGAGGGTGATGCGCAAGCCCAGGTGTGGCGTTCCCGATGTCGGTCGCTTCAGTACCTTTCCCGGCACGCCAAAGTGGAAGAAAACTCATCTTACATACAGGTAATGGCTCCAGAGAGGTTTTCCCATACTCCTGAAATGTTCTGAGTTACTATGGTAGTACAAAATGATGTTTGCAATATTTTTGACACAGAATTGTGAGTTATACACCTGATTTGCCAAGACATGTTGTTGACTCTACTATTGACAAAGCTCTGAAAGTCTGGAAGGACGTGACTCCACTCACATTCTCCAGGACCTATGATAGAGAGGCTGACATCATGATCTCTTTTGTAGTTAAAGGTAATAAAATATCTGCTTATCTGGTGTCCTAGTCCTGGTTGTGTAACAAAATATCTTAGTCTGGATAATTTACAAACAACAGAAGTTCGGTATTCGTTGTCCTAGAGCCTGGGAGATCCAGATGTCGGCAGAGTCAATGTCCCGTGAGAGCCTGTTTGTTATAGATAGTTATCTTCTGTGTCCTTATAAGAAGAATAGAGGAGGCTTCTTCAAGTCTCATTTCTAAGAGCACTAATCCCATTTAGGGGAACAGCTTTTATGGTTATAGATGGTTATCTTCTGTGTCCTTATAAGAATAGAGGAGGCTTCTTCAAGTCTCATTTCTAAGAGCACTAATCCCATTTAGGGGAACAGCTTTTATGATTTAATAACCTCCTAAAGCCCCCACCTAATAATACTACTGCACTGGAGATTGTTCCAGCAGATGAATTAGGGGGTAACACCAATATTCAGACCATAGAAACTGGTATTACCTTATTAGACAAGGGTAAAAAGAAATTCTGAATGCTTATATTTCTGTTATTTATTTATTTTGCTCTCTATTAGAACACGGGGACTTTTTCCCTTTTGACGGGCCAGGATCCAGTTTGGCTCATGCTTATCCACCTGGGCCTGGGGTTGAGGGAGATGTCCACTTTGATGATGATGAGAAATGGACAGAAGATATGTCAGGTGGGTCATAAACCTCTCAGGATGATTTCAGGAATGATGTCTAACCCTATCCAAGAATGATCTGGTTATGCAGGATAAGCAGTGAATGGAATAGTCTAATAGCTGACATTTCTGATTATCTGCATTATCATCAGAAGTACTTTTCATTTCAGTCACTGTTGAAGAGTTTTATAAAACATCTACACTTCCTTCTACAATATATTGTAGTAAGCACCAGTCGATCTTATTTTCACAATCCGATTCCCTCGGGATCTCGTGAGATTTTAGGGCTAGTAACGTTTATCACTTAACTATAGATGATTAGGGTAGAACAAACTCAGTTGAATCAGTTCTGACCCTAAGCTGTATCCTTGGGTTTCTTTCTTTCTCCTCATTTGCCTTCCTTTGATTTGATTTGTTTTGTTTTGTTTTTAAGAATTATTTTATTTAAGTTTATTTATTTTAATTTGACCAGAGAGGGACAGAGAGAGAGAGAGAGGAGGAAAGTGAGAAAGCAAGACACCAGATCCAGGACTCGAACCACGGTTGGCCATATAGGAATCCAGCGCCCTTAACCACCACACCACTTGCCGGCCCCTCTTTTGTTTTTTTAAAGTAAAGATCAGGAGGAAATGTCAGGAGCTAAAAGAAATGGCTAAGATATCTATTTAAACTATCTCTAACTTTAGAGCTTTCTTTACAGTTTTTTTCATGAATTGGTTGCAGAGACTTTACTAAGTCTAAACATAATGACTAAAATTAACTGCATTATATGTATATAACATATATAACATACATATTGCATTACAGTAATAATATATATGTATATATATCATATATATCTTTCCCCAAACAACTGCTTATGTTTGGAAATACACTATTGAAATTACCACTTTTTCTGAAACTGAGCGGGATCTTTAATGTAAATACAAAGAGCATTCATACTGTGAATACAAACCTGAAGTTTATGGTGCATTAAATAATCTAGCTTGATTTGAACAACTTATTTTCTGTATTATTGCTTGGAGATTTAGTTAAATCATTTCTAGCACAAATTTCAATAAAACTCTTTTTCTAATGTAGAGTAAAGCTGACTCTAGATGGTCATATTGGAGAAAACTGTTACTGGGTTTATTTATGATTTTTCTTTTATTCTCTTTCTTCCTGTTTTAATTTTTAATAGTCAGAGGCATGTATACTTGCCAAGCAGAGATAGAAAGAGAGAGAGGGAGAGAAAGAAAGGATCCCCAGTGAGGCATGGTCATGCTGCAATCCCTTTTCTTCTATCTCTCCTTCCTGTTGGGATTTGGGATACATAGCCTCTCCTTTCTTTTTTTTTTTTTTTCCTTGTCTAAGCTACTGAGGCCTGGACTCAAACCATGGTTGGCCATGTAGGATTTAGCACCTTTAACCACTAGGTCATGGGTCAGCCCCTGTTCTAAACTGAAATGGTCGTCTATTGTACCTATTATAATGGAGTATTTTGGCAATCAAAAATGACTTGATTGCAATACAGAGGAAGAATAATAAATGAAGCTGAATCCCCATAGGAAATGTCCGGAGTTTGTTGCGTAAGAGTGTGAGGACTAATGTAAGTACTTGGTGATTAGTATCAAGTGAGATTGTCACGGATAACTTGTTACTAAATTTGAACAATGACTGACTATTTTTAGACAATGAAGGGTTCCATTTATTGACATCTATTAGTTTTGGTCCCTTAGAAAAAATACCTTTTAACAACAATGTCTATTGTGGGGACCAGCAGTAGGCATAATAGCTATGTCGCTGGACTCCCAGGTAGTTGACCACGGTTTGAGTCCTGGACCAGGCACGTGTCTGTGCGTGCCCAAGATCCTGAGAGGAGAATGGAGAAGAAGGGATTGCAGCATGGCCATCCCCCCTAGGGGGGTGATTTCTTACTTTCTGTTTGTCCCTCTCTGTCTGTCTGATGAGCACCCGCACCCTATAGCAAAAATCTCTCAAAAAAAAAAAAGTTATTGTAGTCATTATAGCAAAAGTGGCCTAGTTTTCCTAATACAGGAGGGAACTAGGTAGGAATATAGTGAAATACTGCCTCCTATAGTGACTTCAAGTCAACCATGAAAAACACATGAATTCTGTGCAGTATAGGATATGCCAGACAATGAACTAATCCACAAGTAAGGGACACTATGTGATTCCAAGGCATGTGTTCCGTGTGTGGTCATTATAGCAAAAGTGGCCTAGTTTTCCTAATACAGGAGGGAACTAGGTAGGAATATAGTGAAATACTGCCTCCTATAGTGACTTCAAGTCAACCATGAAAAACACATGAATTCTGTGCAGTATAGGATATGCCAGACAATGAACTAATCCACAAGTAAGGGACACTATGTGATTCCAAGGCATGTGTTCCGTGTAATAATGGAATACGTGTAGCTGTACAACGCCGAAAATGTATGGCTTTTCATATAGGAACCAATTTATTCCTCGTTGCTGCTCATGAACTTGGCCACTCCCTGGGTCTCTTTCACTCGACCAACACTGAAGCTCTGATGTACCCGCTCTACAAGTCATTCACGGACCTGGCCCAGTTCCGCCTTGCTCAGGACGATGTGGACGGCATCCAGTCCCTCTATGGTGAGTGATGAGGAAGAGGGTGCCTATTCTTTTTCTGTGGCTTTGTAGGAAAGTTTTTGGTGATGGTCTTCAGCAAAGCTTTACAATGCTACATAACGTTGTATCTCATAGCACCTGGAGAATATTTGGAAAGCATATAAATTGACAGTTACTTCATGGCTCTCCTAAGTTTGTATCCCTACATCTGTTTTTCCAGGACATCCGTCTGTCATCCCCAAAGACCACATAGTGCCCACGAAATCCATCCCTTCAACGCTTGAGAAGCCAGCCATGTGCAATTTCACTTCATCCTTTGACGCAGCCAGCACTCTCAGGGGGGAAGTCCTGTACTTTAAAGACAGGTCAGATGGCCTTTTGTCTATTTTCCTATCTATAGTTTTGATCTATATGGCTTAAAAAGGAAAATAAAACTTGACCAAGACTTTAAATGAAATACTTTCTTTACATTTTGAAATCATTCAAATCTGGTTCTTGGTACATTTTTAGCATCTACTCAGAATGGTTCAGATCTTTTTTTTGAGAGAGATTTTTGCTATAGGGTGTGTACACTTGCCAGAGAGACAGAAAGAAAGAAATCATCCCCTAGGGGGATGACCTCACCACACTCCCTTCTCCTCTATTCTCCCCTTAGGATTTTGAGCACACATATACATACACCTGGTATGAGTTTCAAGCCTATTGGTTTGGGATTCAAACTGCAGTCAGTCATATGGGAGTCCAGCAATGTAACCATTACACCACCTGCTGGTCCCATGTCCAGATTCTTTTTTTAAAAAACTTAGCATGATTCTGGCCACTAGCTTGTAAGGCCCAATAAAGGCAGAATGTTTTATTGGTTTTGTTCACATTTTTTGGGGGGTGGGGGGGACTGGGGAGGAGAGGTTTTTGCTATAGGGCACATGCACTTGCCAAAAAGACAGAGAGAGATAAAGAGAATGAAAGCGAGAAATCACCCCTCTGGGGGGATGGCCATGCCACAATCCCCTCTCCTCCATTCTCCTCTAGGGATCTCGGGCATGCACACACACACACGTCTGGCGTGAGTTTAAGCGACCCACACACACACACACGTCTGGCGTGAGTTTAAGTGACCAGATCCGGGACTCGAACCGTGGTTGACTACATGGGAGTCCAGCAACATAGCCATTACATTGGAACCAGCAGTTAACGTAATGGCTATGTCGCTGGACTCCCACGCAGTCAACCGCGGTTGGCGTCCCGGACCCGATGGCTTAAAACTCACGCTGGGCGCGTGTGCGTGCGTGCCCAAGATCCTAGGTGGAGAATGGAGGAGAAGGGATTGTGGCGTGACCATCCCCCCTGGGGGGTGATTTCTCACTTTCTGTCTCTATGTCTCTCTCCGTCTGTCTGGTGAGCGCACACACCCTTATAGCAAAAACCTCTCCAAAAGAAAAAAAACATAGCCGTTACACTAACTGCTGGTCCCTCCAGTTTTGTTCACTTTTTAAACATCATAAATCATGGAATTTTTCAGAAAGTATCAATGGATCTTTAGAGGCGGGGTGGTATCTTTACTTTTGCTTACAAATACACTTTTTTTTTTATTTAATTGCTAGAGGGTGTATGTACTCACCAAAGACAGAGAGAAAGAGAAAGAAACCACCCCTCTCCAATAGGATATGGTCTCACTACAATCCTTTTCCCTCCATTTCTCCATCCTGTCAGAATTTGGGTCATACATGCACCCAGTGTGTTTGCCAAGCCACTGGGACCAGATTTCGAACCACTGTCAACCAAAAGGGATCTGGCTCCCCATGCGCCATGCTTAACCACTAAGCTATGAGGCTGTTTCAACCAGGTGCTACTATTTAAGTTAATTAATTTTAGAAAAAGCGATATATGCTATATAGCACAGTATTCCAACATCTGTACCTAAATACAGAGATGAAAGAAAGAAAAATCTCTCTCCCATCTTTGATGTTCCTGCCATATGTACAAGTACAGCTAATCATTTTCTTTGTTTCTTTACAAAGATGTATTTGCATGCAAGCATAAATAGGTACATGTTTTTGGAAAATATTAATGGGCACCTAATAGTCACACTATTTGTAGACTTTAGAATGGAGCCAAGTTAAATAATTACATAGGATTTGATCATAATTCCTGCCATTGATTTCCCTACCCTGGAATCACACACAGGATGATACTCCAATGCAGGCTATGTCAAAGAGGTGAATTAACATTGATGGCAAGAAAGGAAGAGTATGTTCCTTTTTCATATATCTAAAGACGAAAGACAATTGCCTTTCTTTTTTTATACTACAGATATGTTTGGCGTAGACGCCGCCAGGATCTGGAACCTGAATTTCATTTTATTTCTACGTTTTGGCCCTTTCTTCCTTCAGATGTGGATGCTGCATATGAGGGGAAGGACACATTGTTTGTTTTTAAAGGCAAGTGCTGCCCAGAATGTTTAGCCTATGGAAATCCCATTGCAGAAAGTTAATCTACTGGGGCCAACAGGTGGCATGGTAGTTAAGATGCTGGACTCCCACTTGACTGACTCCCTCCCTCCCTTCCCCTCCCTCCCTCCCTCCCTCCAGCAAGCACATGTGCCCTATAGCAAAAAATCTCTCTGAAAAAAAGAAAAGAATACCACGTGACATGGAAGGAATGAAGGGTGCCAGGGGAACAAAAGGGAAGAGCCCAGACCTATACACAGGGTTCAGAAAAGATCCCTCAGAGGAGCTGAGATTTAGCATGACTCATGAAGGAGAACTTTGCTGTGCAGGAATGGGCCTGGGTATGTAAAAACTGGAAAGGATTTTGAGGTAAAATAAGCTGTTCATATAAAAGTAAGAGTACATCCAAAACTGCTCAGATAAATGGTACAAGCCTTTCAGTTCAGATGAAACGAGAGAGATGCAAAACATACGGGGAACCAGCAGTTAGTGTAATGGCTATGTCGCTGGACTCTCACGTAGTAGACCGCGGTTGGCGTCCCGGACCCGGTGGCTTAGAACTCACGCAGGGCGCCTGTGTGTGCATGCCCAAGATCCCGAGAGGAAATGGAGGAGAAGGGATTGCAGCGTGACCATCCCCCCTGGGGGGTGATTTCTCGCTTTCTGTCTCTATGTCTCTCTCTGTCTGTCTGGCGAGCACACGTGCCCTATAGCAAAAAAAAAAAAAAAACATATTGGCATACTAGATTAGTTATTTTGGCAGCGGTGTGAGGAAGGGATTCAAGGCTTAGGGTGGTGTAACACAGTAAAGGCAGAGAGAGTGATCTGATTCCATTATCCTAATTCACTCAAATTTGAGGGGATGCTGGACTCTCACGTAGTAGACCGCGGTTGGCGTCCCGGACCCGGTGGCTTAGAACTCACGCAGGGCGCCTGTGTGTGCATGCCCAAGATCCCGAGAGGAAATGGAGGAGAAGGGATTGCAGCGTGACCATCCCCCCTGGGGGGTGATTTCTCGCTTTCTGTCTCTATGTCTCTCTCTGTCTGTCTGGCGAGCACACGTGCCCTATAGCAAAAAAAAAAAAAAAAACATATTGGCATACTAGATTAGTTATTTTGGCAGCGGTGTGAGGAAGGGATTCAAGGCTTAGGGTGGTGTAACACAGTAAAGGCAGAGAGAGTGATCTGATTCCATTATCCTAATTCACTCAAATTTGAGGGGATTCCTATAAGAGTAGATATGGTGATTGAGATATCTAAGAAGTGTCCAGTAAGCAACTAACCTCTTGATGGGAAGTTTGGGGAAAAAAATCTAGTTTAGAAATTTAGATTAAGAAGTAACCATCAATTATCAGAAATAACTAGAATTTGTCACTATAATTTATAGATAATAAATATAAGGGGAGTGATCCAGAGTTATCTACCTAATTGTTTATTCATTTATTCACTCATTCAAGGGATATTTCTTACATACACCATGTGAACTGGGCATGGGGTAGGTAGTTGAAATTAAAACCAAGTTTCCTCTTCACCACAACAATGCACTATAATAATGTCTAAAAAAAATGACTTTATTCAGAATTTCTTGGGTTTATTTTTTCAATAGGAAATAAGTTCTGGGCAATCAGAGGAACTGAGGTACAAGCAAATTATCCAAAAAGTATCCGTACTCTGGGCTTCCCTCCAACTGTAAGGAAAATTGATGCAGCTGTTTCTGATGTGGAAAAGAAGAAAACATATTTCTTTGTAGGGGACAAATACTGGAGGTAAGTTGCAATAGGAATGACTTTTTTTTTATGAAGTCTAGTTAAGGAATTTTTTTTTTCAAGAGAGAGTTTTGCTGTAGGGTGTTTGTGCTTGCCAGAGAGACAAAAAGAGACAGAGAGGCAGAAGGTGTGAAATCAACCCCCAGGGGGGTGGCCATGCCACAATCCCTTGTCCTCCATTCTCCTCTTAGGATTTTGGTCATGCGTGCATACACACCCAGCATGAGTTTCAAGCCTCCAGGTCTGGGACTTGAACTGTAGTCAGTCATGTGGGAGTCCAGCAAAATAACCATTATGCCATCTGCTGGTCCCAAGGAAATAATTTATTTCTTTGAGGCCATCCCCCAATTCCACTCTGTAAATTCCTCTATCTTCAAACTTTCTGGTCATGAGAAAGATTCTACTTGTTCAACTTTTCATGTACAGAATGGTCCTCTCTGGGCCATATACCAGACACCAAAAGACATCAGGAGAAACCATCTGAGGTCCAAAGGCGCATTCACTTCTTGTCCCATTGCCAGTTACCATGTGGCTACCAGAGAAAGCCCAGGTGGGGAAAACTGTAGAAACAAAGCCTACTAGATCCCAGTGTGGTAGAGAACCAGAAGTCTATTTTTAGCTGAACAACTTAATTCGCTTAGTGTCTTACATGCATACAGTCCTCATGTATTTGTGACAGAAAGGTATTTAGGCCCAGTGTGTCCAGGCTTAGAAAACTGACCTCAGACAAATGTATAGTACCTCTGTAGAATAGCATAATACCCTTGTTTCTGTGGAAAATATTGTTTTCTATGCTAAGCTTGTAAGCCCAACAAAGTCACATATTATTGTAGCCCTAGAAATGTCTAACCTTTCCTTGTACAACTTGAAAAGTTTATCTAGACTTCCACACCAGAACGTTAACATCGCACCCTACCACTGCGTGTAATGGGATGCTACACAATGTTGAAATTTATTTCTTTTACTTGGTACAGATTTAATGAAAATAGTCATTCCATGGAGCAAGGCTTCCCCAGGCTCATAGCACATGACTTCCCAGGAATTGAGCAGAAGGTTGATGCAGTGGTAAAAGAATTTGGTAAGAGGACCCTTATTTCATTGCCAATAGAGACACTTCCAGGCATTTTATGGTACCAAAAGGAAGAGAAGGATCAAATGAGTTTTCAAATTTTTCAGTCTTACGGGTTTTTTTTAATTCTGAAAATGTTAACTTTCCAATTTATTCAAATTTTGCCATTCTCTGCATCAGGTCATCTCTGCTTCATACCGGCACATAAAATCAAAGGTTATCTTTCAGGTCACTATGTTGGTATAAAAGTGTGAGTCAGGTTTACTTTCTCTCTTTTTTCTTTTAGTAATTATTTATTTAGGGACCAGCAGTTGGCATAATGGCTATGTCACTGGACTCCCAAGTAGTCGACTGTGGTTTGAGTCCTAGATCTTGTGGCTTAAACTCACGCTGGGTGCATGTGTGTGTGTGCCCAAGATCCCAAGAGGAGAATGGAGGAGAAGGGATTATGGCATAGCCATCCCCCCTGGGGGGTGATTTCCCACTTTCTGTCTCTCTGGTGACTGTACATGCCCTATAGCAAAAACTTCTCAAAAATTATTTATTTAATTTTATGTATTATTATTATTATTATTTCAATTTGTTATAGGGCACATGTGCTCACTAGAGAAAAACAGAGAGAGAAAATGAGTTTCAAACTCCTAGGTTCAGGACTCGAACCACAGTTGGCCATGTGGGAGACCAGCATTAACTACCATGCCACCTGCTTGCTCAGTGAACTAGGTATTCTATTGATTGGCTTTCATCCTCCTTTATCCCATCCTGTTGTTCCTTCTATCCTATCCCATCTCACGGGACCTTGTGTGGCCTTCTGTTGCAATCTGCAATTGTCTACATTAGTCATTTGTATATAAATCATAGTCTATCCCTGTATTCAAAACAGACAAAATTTGTTTCCTGGCAATGAGAAGATTTGTAAAGCAAAACTTGTACTCGCTTCCTCTGAGGGAATTGTGGAGGGGGCTGCCAGGGCTTGACAAGGCTAATACTTACAAGGTTGATGATTATGTTACTAAAATTTCTTGACTACAATGTATGCAAAGCAGAAAATAGACTTTGGTGAATTTTATCATTGGTCTAATTACCTCCCAGGATTTTTTTTTTAATTAATTGCTGGAGGGCACATGTGCTTTCAAGGGAGAGAAAGAGAGAACGAGAATGCACAAACCTTCATGGGGAAAGGTCATACTGCAATCCTTTTTCCTCTATTTCTCCATCCTGTCAGGATTTGGGGCGTGCATGCACATATGCCCAGTGTGTTTTCCAAGCCACTGGGGTTGGGATTCTGCTCACAGTTGACTGAATAGTATCCAGTTCTCCATCCACAGCACTTACCCACTGTGCTGAATTTCCTTTGTGAAGGAAAGGACACCATGGTCAGCAGTCAAGCCTTGGTTTAGGACCTAGTGGGGGAGAAGAGGTTGAGAAGAAAGGAATATAAACTAAAGTTTTAAACTATCACAGAATTCTATCTATTGAAAAGCACTACAATCCAATGTTTAAAAGCACTGGTTTTGGAGTCCGGTGGATGCCATAGAGTCCCATCTTTCACTATGTTACCGTGGAAGAACAGCAGAATCTCCCTAGTTTTCAGTTGTGTCCCAATTATCAATACCTCACACCTTTTGTGGAAGGATAAATGCGCTAAAGTATGCAAAGTACTTAGCACGGTGCTTGGCAAAGAATAATGTCTTAATCATGCCATCCGTTGGTATGCTATTTTAAGTTATGCGGGTTGCAAAATTGGTTTATTTGGAGAATGTCTTATCATTTTCCTCATTTGTATTTACAGGATTTTTCTACTTCTTCAGTGGACCATCACGGTTTGCATTTGACCCTAATGCCAAGACCGTGGCACATGCAATGAATAGTAGCACCTGGTTGTATTGTTAGGTGAGATAGGGAGAAAATATACACGAGCATTTTGAATGAGTCTAATATTCACCAAATTTATTATAAGTCAAATGATGAATTATTTCTGCGTGGGCTGTGGCTAAAGACAAGCCTTGCAGACATCTTCATGTGTCACGAAGCATTTGTCGGGACCGCTTCACTTGCTCTTGAAATACATGGAGCAGAAGTGGGAAACACTCATGTACAATTGGCTGGAAGATATACCTCCATGTATATTTTACCTATTCTTTCTTTATTTTTCTCTACATGGCTCACCAGAGAGAGGCAGAGAGGGAGAGAAAGGGGGAGAAAGCACTCCCCAAATGGGGCATGGTCACATGCCCTCTGCTTCTCCATATTTTCAGGATTTAATACACACATGTTTTTCAAGAAGTCAGGACTGGAATTTGAACCATGGTCAACTCTGTGGGATCTGATTCTCTTAACCACTAGATGAGGGTCCTGGCCCTACTTATTATTTAATAAACATGTTTACTTTTGACTTGTTTTCTTTCTAGAGTAATTTATGTTTCATATACTGACCACCTGTGTACTGAACACGTGACAGATGTTCTGCCAGTAACTGTAGCAGAATTATACCCTCCATGCATGGATCATGTGGCTGTCGCATGTTCTCTCCTACTGTCTGTCCCAACAGGTCATTATTTTTACCTCTCAGATGTCATAAGTGATCCTTACACGTGGAAGGGGAAAAGCATGGGGGCCATATTTGTTCTATAGGGCTGCTTCTCAGCAACACTGGTAGAATTCTAAAATACTGGAGCCTGGGGAACTTTCATATCATATCGTCCACTTCATAACTTAGAAACCAGAAAACAAAATTAAATTTGAACCTAGGAACCTCTTGTTCGAATCCAAATCTTCTTTCAATGGCACTCTGTCCACTCTCTAGAGATCCAATTTCTTATATCATCCTCACCCTATCATTAACATGTTTTCTTGCTGTCATTTCTTACATGGATGTTCCTGGGTGAGGAGAGTTTGTGTGCACAGACCAACTATATGACAGATTTATCACAGCTGCGTTACCTGCCTCACACCCTCCTGGAACACTACAGATAACTCGTTCCTCCTTTCATAGACTAATTTTAAATTCCTATCACTGGCATAGATGCAAGGTAGAGAACAGTGATGAAAACGCATGTAACCCAACCTCATTGAATTTTGTCTTTTGGGAGAAAGATATCAAACAAAAGAATGCAAATTAACAAAATTAGAAAGGTATTATTAAAGAAATGAAATGTTGGTAAGTGAGAATCTTGTTGGAGGAGGGGCTAGTGTTAAAGTTGGTTGTTAGAGATGATCTTGCTTGAGATAAGACTGAAGAAAAAGTGCATTAAATTCAATGAGCCATGCAGATGGGTAGGAAGAGGTAGACCATTCTAATAATAGAAAACACAAAATAGTGTTGAGGCTCCATTGGTGGAGATCAACTTGGCATGTTCAAGGAACTTAAAGGAGATGGGTACCTAATTAGAGTATGTTTTTCAAGCCTCAAGGGCTGGGATTCAAAAGGAAGTCAGCCATGTGGGATCTGGCTCCTTCCACACAGCATTTAATCTCTGAGTTATGCTGCCCTCAACCCTCCTTTTCTGTTCTCCCTCCAAAGAACTTCTGTTATTGTAAATTTCCCAATTACTTACCACAAATGCATTTTAGTTCAGTTTGACCTTCCAATAAAATCTCTCTGATTAAAAACACCAAACATGGAAACAAACACAGAAGCTCTTGCCCATACCCTTCTTTGCTTACTCACTATCTCCTTGGACTTCAGGACTCAGCTCAGAAATTACCTTGGAGACCCCTTCTCTATTCTCCTGGCTCTGTTGGATATTATACCCAAGTACCTCCAAAATACTTATGACACACAAATATAACTATTGCCTCAAATTTATCCCACATCAAACTGCAACTTCCTTGAGTTACATACCACTCTTAGCTGAGGGGGAAATAATTAGCATGATGTAGGCACTCCATAAATGACTGTTGAATAAATGAGTAAAAGGGCCCTTCAGCCTATGAGGGAAGTGACATTTGCCTTTGCATGAAGAATAAGTAGGAGCGGGCTGGCAGGTAGCACGGTGGTTAAGGGTGTTAGATTCCCACATGGCCAATCTTGGTTTGAGTCCCAGACCTGGTGACTTGCTTTCTCACATTCCCTTTCTCTCTCTGTCTCTCTCTGGTCAAACTAAAAAATAATAATGATAACAAATGGAATTAAATAAATAAATATTTAATAAAAAAAAAAAGAATGAGTAGGGACTATCAAGTCACATGTCTAGAAAGAAGGACATTCCAAGTGAATGTCATGGAAATCTCAGATGACAGATTATGTTTGGAAAATTCCAAGGAGATGTGCAATAAAGAAAAGGAGTGCCATTGTTGTGTGTATTTTGGAGAGAAAATAATGAAGTATTCAACTTATCAACTTACAGTTAAAAGCATGAAATTTTATTCAATAAATAAAACAATTGAGTTTAATGTTTCCACAGAGTTCAGCTCTGACCTTAAGTATTTAATGATTCCTTTGCCAGATTCATTCATTCACCAATCATTTGGTAATAGCATCAAATATGTTTTTAAAGCAGACAGGACTTACATTAGAAATAAGGAATAGGTTCTGACTGGTATCACAGTGGTAAAATGTGCTGCTCTGTGAGGCTGATCCTCACGGGATGGTTCTGGGTTCATGTCTGAAGACCGCCTTGAGTGTGCTGGACTCATGGACTGGGTCCCGTCATAATCCTTGCCAAAGAGGCTGGCTTGAATGGCCACAGTTGTTTCACATGATACTTTCACCCTCCCGCTTTGATCACAGATGAATGAGCCAGAAATGGAAACTTAACCAATGAGAAAACCCAGAGATGAATAAGATTGTCTTTTACCCAGAAGACTTTAAATAGGAGATGAAGGTTATGGTTGGTTGGCAATGGGGACAACATCTATAAGGCCATATAAACTTGTAGACTGGTGACATGATAGGAACATAACTGAAGCAGAATAAGGAAGACAGAAAGGCCCCTGAGAAATGGTAACGGGATTCTTTTTTTGAAAATATTCTCAGTTCTCATTTGTTTGTTTGTTTGTTATAGGGCACATGTGCTCACCAGAGAGAGAAAGCAAGAGAGGAAAAGTGAGAAATCAGCTCCCAGGAAGGATGGCCATGCTGCAATCCCTTCTCCTCCATTCTCCTCCAGGAATCTTGGGCACACATGTACTCATGCCTGGCATAGTCTTCAAGCTGCCAGCTCTGGGGCTTGAGCCACAGCCAGCCATATGGGAATCCAGTGTCTTAACTACCATACCACCTACTGGCCCCATCAATTCTAATTTTTTTTTTTTACAGGTTTTTGCTATAGGGCATGTGTGCTGGCCAGAAAGAGAGAGACAGAGAGACAGAAAGCGAGAAATCATCCCCCAGTGGGGGATGGCCATGCCACAATCCCTTCTCCTCCATTCTCCTCTTGCAATCTTGGGCATGCAAGCACATGTGCCCAGTGCGAGTTTAAGCTACCAGGTCCAGGACTCGAACCGTGATCAACTACATGGGAGTCCAACAACATAGCCATTATGCCAACTGCTGGTCCCCCCATCAATTCTAATTTTATTGAAACAAGATTTGTATGTTTTATCAACCTATAAATGCTGTTTTTTAAATTCCTTTCAATTAATCCCTGATTTAAGTGATACTCCCTGTTTTCTCTCAATCTCTCTCTCTCTCTCTCTCCCCCCTCTTTCTCTTCTCTCTCTCTCTCCTCCTCCTCCTCCTCTGTTCCCTCTCATTTACTTTTCAACTATTTTTGTTGCTTAGTGCCTTTTAGCTTTGCTCTCATAATTTTGTCCAACACTGACCAGCAGAATTTTGGACTCACTCCTCTATTTTGGATCCTTATCATGAATAGCTCAGTTATATTCAAGCAGAACAGATTACCCTTGATCTAACCCTATAATGAGGTAAAAGAAGCTTCTCCTGGCAGAATCCTATCCTGGTCTGGTGAATCTGACCATCTTTCCTAAAACAGTCAGGGAGTCTCCCTTTTTTTTCCCCATAAGGAGTTGTGACCAACTTAAGCCTATTTTGTGTGAGTAGTTTTCTCTACACTTTCAACATGTTTAAGTGGAATTTGTCTCCATCCACCACCAAAAAGGGTTAGATGACCTTAATGACTACACAGAAATACAAATATCTCTTCACTGGTAGGGAAGATCAATGCAGGATGAGCTGAGTTGAAGGTAAATTCCTGAAATCCCTGGATAGGTGTCTGGGTCACCAAATGCCCTTATTCTTGAGGGTATTTTAACTTTTGAAGATTCTATTCATTGTCCTCACTATATCCTGTAATGTTTGTAAGATCACGTGTCTCAGTTATACTAAATGGATTTCCCTAAAGCATAGACAATGTCAGCCCGTATTTTATTTTGAGCAAATTCTGGATCCTAAATCCAACTTTATAGTCCAAATGAGATTTGGTCTTTCTAGTGGATGGAACAAAAGTAAAAGCAGTCATACTCCAATACACCATGGACTTCTAAGCCTGTGTCAGTACAGTTAAAACACATAGCATGGTTGTTTGGTTGGAAGCTCTGTGAATCTACCTACCCCTCTCTCCACCTGTCCACCTCCTCTCAGCAGTTCAGCCAAAATTAGTATGTTTGCGTGTTCACTGGTTTGTACTCCAGGCCTGGCTACTTGTCTTCTGATCTTTTATTTATTTATTTATTTTGACGTATTTTTGCTATAGGGTATGTGCACTTACCAGAGAGACAGACAGAAAGTGAGAAATCACCTCCCAGAGGGATGGCCATGCTTCAGTGCCTTTCCCTCCATTCTCTTCTTAGGATTTTGGGCACACATGCATGCATGCCCAGTGTGAGTTTTAAGCTGCTGAGTCCAAGACTTGAACCGTGGTTAGCCATGTGGGAGTGCCTTAACCACTATGCCACATGCTGGCCCCAGTTTCTGATCTTAAGACCTGATTCCCAGGCCTTCTCCCACTACTCGCTGGCTGTGCTGTCACAGGCAAGTCATTTCACTACTGGGAGGAGCTATCGTGCCTTCATCTTTCAAAGAGGATTAACACTCTCTGCCTTGAGTGCTCTATTAGACTGTTGCAAAGACAAAATAAAATGTTTGTAAACGGTATAAAGCCCTACAGATGTTAGACGTATTGTTTTTCATCTAGTACATATTTGACCAGGAGTGGATGACTTAAAGATAAACAACAGAACAAACCAGATGGCATCACAATAAATTAAACTCAGGCATGAGTAATCTAAAAAACAAAAATAGAAGGTATAGAAAGCTTGTAGACTTAGCATCGTGTGAAAATGTGTCTTGTCAAA